TTATCAAATTTGGAACAAGGGCAGATAAATAATGTTCTTCATGACAGCTTATCTCTTTAAGGGTCACTAGAAAAATTCATGATTTACTGTCTTCAAAATGCATAAACAAAAATTAAAAACTGGAAGACGAGGCTGTAGCTAACTACCTGACGGCAGCCCGATTTGTTGAAATTCGTAGAAATAACGAAGCAGGAGGAAATTACAAGCAAACGCACCGAGCAGCCTCGCAAAATCTGGTCACAGCAGTTTGGGAAGAAAATGGCAGCAGCTGCTGACGAAATGTCAACATCCCTACTGTATCGAACGGAGGAGGGTTAGTGTGCTCGAGTGGTGTGCGTTGCGTGTTTTTGCTGGTTTCCTAAAATTTATTGCATCTTTTACATGTTTTATGAAACTAATATATAGCCCTAATTCTATATTTTTAATATCTGTTTCATTYGATATCTTTTTAAAACGTTTTAACAACCATGCTCATTGTTTGCATTGAAAAGTTTTTTTCCCAGGCCACCTTATAAAAAGTGGGCGTGTTTAGTAGTGGACAAGGGGCGTGGTTTGTAGTGTCCAGGTTGCAGCTGGATATTATTGGAAATAATAATAAATGGTGGAGTTCGGGAATTTATCACAAACCAAATATTTTGCTTTTTAATGTAGGTTTAGCATCATAGCTGCTAAAACTTATGCTGCAATGAGAATCAAATGCAATTAAAAGTACTGATACTAGACCTAAACCCAAATTATTAATGTTTTTTTAGTTACTAGTAATGATTTAATAACACTAAATTTTATGAAGTTTTGAAGGCTTTTTTGTTTTTGTCTGTGTGTATACTTTGGCAAAGAATCAGGTGAGCTAGTGGACAGATTTTAATCAAACTCAAAGCAATCGTTAGATGAACATCTATAATTTATTAAATTTTGAACTCACTTTAAGTTGGCTGCTGTGGCAAATCAAAATTAGTCAACACAAAAATGACGATAATTTTTCCTTTCTCAGCTTGAGATAAACTTTGCTAAAACCTCTGGCATGAAAGGTTGTGGGTTGCTTGGACTTTATTTTTGAATCTGACCATTTTGAGTGAAAAATTTGATCTTTTGCAACTCATACTGATTACATTACATAGGTTTTATCAAACAGAATATCAGCATCTGCAATAATTTTGATTCAAAAGTTACTTCAACATTTAGCAACTTGAATAACAATTGAAACATTTTGTTGCTTTGTGGCAACATTTCTCTTTATGGACATTTAGGAACTTGTGTTTTGTCCCACGTAGTCCTTCACGCTTTGATCATTTTGCATGCCATTGTAAGAAAATTCGTATTCAATAAACTGAAGTCGATATTAAAAACACCGTTGTTAAATAA